TGTCACGCCTGAATATATAAAGCAAACTCATTTATAATTAAGTGTTCTATATCTAAAAAGACATCATATTAGTCAACTGTACCCACAATTTAACATATATGAATTCTATACGAAATGAGAAAACATACCCGTCGAAACGATTGAGATAAATTGCATATATTCACTCCATAAAAATAATCCGACCTCATGTTGACAACCAGTGAGCTTGAAATACACACATTTACATTTTCAGGAAATCACTTCATACAGATTCGTTTCGAGATACACAGCAACACGCAACATGGAAAGTTGAAACGCGTCATAGCTAAATCGGAAAAACAACACAGGCCGCGCGTGCACCAAGCCAAGCCGTAGATGACAACATTCCGTCAGCAAAGGTTTCGGGAACAGTAGCGACAATCCTCCCCACACATACTCAACCGTATAGAGCCACCAACTCAGCATTCACACCAACTTCCAACCACTAACACTCCCTTACGTCCGACCGCCAAACCTAAACCGTTCATCGTCATTGATGACGATGAGAACGGGCACGAACTTCACCCCCGACTGGATTCGACAATCCCACTTTTTTCCGATGGAGGCGATGTTCGCGATGGTGGTAGCCACATCGCCGGTAGCGTCCGCGACACGAAACAAGACCGGCCCGTCTAAACCTTCCATGGCTTGCTAGAGGGATGAGACTGATGATGCGTGCTTGACTCGAACATGAAGGCAAGCCTCCAGGATCAAAAGACGACACAATGTGCTGGTGGTACCGTACCGTACTCACACTAATGCCGAAGTCCATTTGGGCTTCAGTTCAGAATTCCTACGTCCTGGGCGAAAAATGGGCGTGAGGTCGAGGCGCGTGGTCGAGGAAATAGGCGTGAGGAACGGGCGTGGTTGTGGGGAAATGCATGTCGTGCCACTCGTAAAAAATCTTCAGGTGGATATCAGGTGGATATCATCTGTGCTTGATAACAGACGACTCGCTTCGTAATACAGGCATAACTCAAGTTTACCTTGCTACAGAGTAAACACGGTTGAGTGCGGTGAAACAGGGTCAACTGGCAAGGTAGAAATAGAGGCACGCGAAAGCTATGGAGGAGCAGGTCATACCTGCACCTGCTGTGGCTAGTGGGGCTGGATATGTGGCTACTAGGACTACAGTTGTAGGTAATCATTGTGAAAGACTAATACCTTCTTAAACCCAGATATACCTTATTACCATCTTACGGAAATTCGAATCCAATCCACATAGAAAATGGGTGCGTTAAAAAAACAGCCAAGACAGACTAGACTACAGTATGTACATACCTAACACACACCACGTTAAAGCGATGGGCAACTTTTGGCAGTGTTGGGTTCAGAAGTTTTTTTTTTTGAACCAGGCTTGCCAGCGCGAAAGTGCTGGCTGGCGAAAACCAGGATTTCGTGCGGACACTTTCCATCCGCAGTAACAGTTCGCCAGGGTTCTGGGTTTTGGGTGGCAAATGTGCACCGTCGCTTTAAAGATACGCATAATCCAGCTTCTTACGCTGAAATCTGAGCGCCCTGGCTGGACCACCATCTAATTATCATCTGTCAGGGAGACAAACGGTCATCATCATCAAAACCTACATGTTGCATACGATCATCCAGGTCATCAACGTCAACCTCATCCGACCAATCGTCATCAGAATACCAGCTACAATAATCATTTTCTGGTGGATCCCAATTGAGAAACCCATTATCTGCAATGTCCGTGTGCAGTCCAAACAAATGACCCTGCCAAGTAAACCATGGCGAAGTTCATACATTTCATAAGTGCAAATTATGTCAAAGGTGACATGGCAAACAAGGAGATGAAGGTGGAGACCGGGGAACAACCTGGGAGCAGATGAAGAAGCAGGCCTCACCCGCCTCGCAACCCAGCACAAAGTGAGCATTCGGTTTCAGCAAGGCAGTGGCACTCCATGCCTGCAGGACGGCACACGGGTGAGGGTGGGGCACAGGGAAAGTTGACACACAGAATCACATAACAACTCATGTTTGAACACCCGACAGTCCAATTCCAGAAGCGAAGGGACAACAGCAGTGTGCTTGCAGAAAAGGACACAGCACGGCACAAAAACCTAACCATCACGCTGGGTCATGGCAAAGCGGACATGTGCTTGAAGCACCAACACTTCACTCCAATAGCCACACTGTCCTTGCATAAGAGGGCCCGGCCCAGCTACTAGTAACCATCTCACCTGGTTGTGGCAAAAGGGGCATGTGCTTGAAGCAAATGGCTGGCCTTGCAGCATCCAGTGAAAGCTGCAGCCACACATTGGAAGAGGTATGAGAGGGAAGGACGTATGAGAGGGAGAGAGGCATGAGATGCAAGCTGCACTTGGAGAGAGGTTTTGGCTGTGCAGCCCATGCCAAGGGTTGGAGCAAACGGCTGGCCTTGCAGTAGCCTTGCTGCAGCTATGCATTGTAAGAGAGGCATGAGACCAACTTACACAAGACAGGCGTTACACTGTGGGCCCATCCCACTGGTGAGACCAAACCCTGACAGGCACTCATCCTAACAACATCGCCATGGCTTACCGCGAATGCTTGAATCCTGCAATCGCTCCCCGCACCACATGCAAACGCCCATCCTCGGTCCCGTGCTCCCACTCACAGTCCCCTGCTGCCATCAACACAGCCGCGCCCTCCCGCGCTCCTTCCTCCCCATCTTCCCCCCTAACTTTGCCCTCTTCCCCCCCTTCCACCTCATCCACTATACTGTCGACCCCAAGCGAGGGGCATGGAGGGTAGGAGGTGTTAGGGCGGTGGGAAGAGGTGCGGTCCCGGGTGCAAGGAGGAGGACGAGGCGAGGGGAGGAAAGGAGGGGCGGGGATGAAGCATTCGGGCAGAAAGAGCCGAGTGGCGAGGGCGGAGCACAGGGCACAGGAATCGCTGACGTGAGGATTGATGGAAGGGTGACTGTCTCTCTCCTCCCATGAATCCACTCGCAGCTCGACGGAGCACGCGCGTACCACGCCCGGGCACGCGCTCATGCAGCGCGCCAGGCTGCTCGCCGCGTTTCGCGGAGCATCAACGCTGCCCGCCTCGCGCACCAGACGCGCCGCCACCGCCGCCACCGCCGCCGCCTCGCCGCCTTCAGCCACGGCGGCGCGCGCGAGGCAATAAAGCGGCCATAGCTCCGAGCGGGCGACACGTGCGAAGGCGCGAGAGACGGAAGCGATGTTCGCGATAGTGGTAACCGCATCGCCAGTAGCGTCTGCGACACGAAACAACACTGGCCCGTCTAAAGCCTCCATGACATGTGTTTAGGTTACATCAAGCTTGAGAGGGATCAAGACGACACAATGAGCTGGTGGTACTCAGATTAATGCCGAAGGCCATTGGATGGCTCCCTGTACCAAAGAATGCTTCAGAATTTCTACGTCCTGGGCGTGAAATAGGCGTGAGGTCGAGGCGCGTGGTCGTGAAGTGGGCGTGAGCTTGAGAAACGCGCATGGTTACGGGGAAATGCATGGCATGCCATGCCACTCGTCGGAAATTCCGAAGAGCATCATGCGGTAAATGTGCTCAACAACAGCAGTCGCGCTATCAACAACAATACCCGCAATAAAACGCTAAAGCCCATCTCGTGTCAACTCGTTGGGAGTTGGATGGGTTCATGTAGGTTTGAATGCGGTTAAGTAGGCTGAACAGGAAAGGCGGGGGCAGACAAAGCCGGCAGAAGCAGAGGCGGAGGAACGCAAGGGAGCATTGGAGCAGTAGCTCAGGGCTACTAGCCTACTACTGTGGGAGTTGAAATGGAGTTGAAATGGGGTTGAGTGCGGTTAATAGGGTGAAAAGAGCTGGTATGGGCAGAGGCACGCAAAAGCGCTCTGGAGCAGCGGCTCAGGGCCGCTGCTGTGGCAGCTCGTTAGGAGTTGAATGGAGAGTGCGGTGCAACTGGGTGAACAGGCAAGGCAGAGGCTCGCAAGGCTGCTCTGGTCTGGGAAGCGGCTCAGAGCTGCCGCTGCTGTGGCTGCTTGCTAGGGGCTCGATATGAGGCGGGTTGAATACTGTAGGGCTACGTTAGGAATGGCTCTGTTTTCCTTGTGGAAGTGGATTACAGTACTACCGTACCACCTCAAACAAAATTAGAGGAAAACAGCCCACAGAGTCTAGGTACAGACTACCTAACACAAATCACGTTAACAATCAGCACAATCAGCCTGCTTACGCTGATATGGTATCTGAAGGCCTGTACACCATCTTATGTACAAGTCATGTTGGGGAGACCACCATGGTCATTATCAACATCTACCAAAGGACCAGGCCATATGATCTAGTATGTCATCCCTTTCATCCGGCGAAAGCTCATCCCACGAATCCTCATCAGAAAAGTCCGTGCGTGACGACTTGTACAGTCCAAACAAGTGACCCTGCGGGTCATGACGAAGTTGTACATTGCATCAGAACAGATTATATCGAAGGTGGCTGGCTAACAAGGGAAAGTGCAAGCTATGGATGGAACTGGTGGTTGCAAAGCGGAACAACCTGGGTGCAGATGCAGCAGCAAGCATCACGTTTTGAGTTGACTCAAAACACACACAAAGTGCAAGCTATGGAACTGGTGGTTGCAGAGCGGAACAACCCAACCGGAGGCTGCGGAACAACCTGGGTGCAGATGAAGCAGCAGGCATCGCCCTCATCGCAACCCAACGCAACGTGAGCTGTCGGTTTCAGCAGAGCAGTGGCGCTCCATGCCTGATGGACAGCACACGGGTGAGGGTGGGGTACTTAACATGCTCGAGCACCCATGTTCAGCAGGAAAGGTGGTGCCCAGAAGCACATCGCAACCTGTGTTTGAACACCTGAAATACCTCAACAACTAACACTCCCTTTAAAACTCATCCTGCAAAAGAGGTCTCCCACAGCTGCTAACCATCTCACCCGGTCATGGCAGAAGGGGCATGTGCTTGCACCTAACGGCCTTGAATAGTGTTTTAGGTCGACTTAAGGCACAACACAGCTGCTAACCATCTCACCCGGTCATGGCAGAAGGGGCATGCGCTTGTCGCAAATGGCTGGCCTTGCAGCATCCAGTGAAATCTGCAATCAAGCATTGGGAGAGAGGTATGAGAGGCAGCATAAACCTGTATTTTGACTGTGCACAAAACAGGTGTTACACTGTGGGCTATCCCACTGGTGAGACCATACCCTCACACCAGTGCCAGCCACCAACTCCTTGGCTCATAGTAAAAGGGAGGCAGTACTAGAAGTTTTGAGGAGTCTCGTAAGTCATTCCCTCACACCCGTACCAGCCACCAGTGCAACAACCACCCATCCACCCAACACCACCACCATGGCTTACCGCAAGTGCTTGAACCCAGCAACGCTCAGCGTCAGCCCGAGACGGAAACTGTGGGCTGTGACAGCCCCGTTTCCCTGTCTGCAGCCCACAGTTGCCTTCTGAGTTGCCTAAAAAAACTTACCGAGAGTGCTTGAACCCAGCAATCGCTCCCCGCACCACATGACATCGCTCATCCTCACCCCTGTGCTCCCGCCCACAGCTCACAGTTGCCTCTGAGGCGCCTCAAGAGACTTACCGTGAATTCTTGAACCCAGCAATCGCTCCCCGCACCACTTGACAAGCCTTGCCCTCATCATCATCGTCATGCTCGTCCCCACAGCGCCCTGCCGCCATCAACACCGCCGCCTTTTGAGTCGACTCAAAAGCCACCTCTGCTCCCCGCACCACATGACAAGCCTGACCCTCAGCCTCATCCCCCTGCTCCCGCCCACAGCCCCCTACTGCCATCAACACCGCCGCGCCCTCCTGGTTTAAAGACGTCTCAAAACGCTCATCCTCACTCCCCTGCTCCCGCCCACGGCCCACAGTTGCCATCAACACAGCCGCGCCCTCCTGCGCCCCTTTCCCCCCATCGTCCTCCCTTTCTTTCCTCTTTTTCCCCCCTTCCACGTCACCCACACTCCTGTCATCCCCCGGCGAGGGACATAGAGGCAGGACGGGGTGGGAGGTGTTAGAGTGGCGGGAAGAGCGGTGGGAAGAGGAGCGGCCCGGGGTGCAAGGAGGAGGAGGAGGCGACGAGCGGGAAGGAGGGGCGGGGAGGAAGCACTCGTCTTCAAAAAGCCGAGTGGCGAGAGCTGAGCACAGGGCAGAGGAGCATTGCGGGTATTGTGTAAATCTGTAACAACATCATTTGACCTGATTGAAGCTCGGCGCAAGCTCGTGGCAGCTCGTTAGAGGTTGGATGGGTAATGTGGGTTTGAATGCGGTTGAGTAGGCTGAACAGGTGAGATCAGAGCTGCCGCTGCTGTGGCTGCTTGCTAGGGGTTCGATATGAGTCTGGTTGATTTCCGTAGGACTACGATAGGTATGGTTCAGTTTTTCTTGTGGAAGTGTAATACCACCTTATATCAAATTTAATCCACAAAATAGCCTGCTTACACTAGTATTTGACGGCCTGTGCACCATCTTACATGTATGGTGCAATTCCTTTCGGGATACCGACAAAAGTTCATCATCAATATCTACCAAAGGTCACCATCAATATCTACCAAAGGTCATCATCAATATCTACCAAAGGTCATCATCAATATCTACCAAAGGTCTCTCAAATATATAATATGTGGTATAGGCTGTAGTGAGGTGCCTTCTAGGGGGTACAACTTTTAGGTTTGCATATTTGTACCCCATCCTGTTTCTAGTTCATTATTCCGTTGTGTTCCTACTTTGAGATGGTATATGAGGGGTTCGTTTCCTAGCCTAGCCTGGCCCGTGTTCGCGCCCTCCGCGCCCTAGCGCTCTCCGCGCCCTCCGCGCTCTCCCGTGCCCTCCGCGCCCTCCGCGCCCTAGCGCCCTCCGCGCCCTCCGCGCCCTAGATCCCTCCGCGCCCTCCGCGCTCTCGCGTCCTCCGCGCCCTAGCGCCCTCCGCGCCCTCCGCGCCTAGCCTGCTCTTTCGCCAGCGCCCGAGCCCTAGCCCGTCGCCCCAGCCCGCGCCCTAGCCCATCGCCCCAGCCCGCGCCCTAGCCCGTCGCCCCAGCCCGCGCCCTAGCCCATCGCCCCAGCCCGCGCCCTAGCCCGTCGCCCCAGCCCGCGCCCTAGCCCATCGCCCCAGCCCGCGCCCTAGCCCGTCGCCCCAGCCCGCGCCCTAGCCCATCGCCGCAGCCCGCGCCCCAGCCCGTCACCCCAGTCCGCGCCCCAGCCCGTCGCCCCAGCCCGCGCCCCAGCCCGTCGCCACAGCCCGCGACCTAACCCGTCGCGCTCGCCCGCGACCTAACCCACGCCCTAGCCCCAGCCCCCTCAACAGCGCCCTAGCCCTAGGCCGCGTCCTGCCCTGAGCCGCGCTCATCCCTAGGCAGCGCCCTAGCCCTAGACCGCGCCCTGCCCTACCCGCGCCCTCGCCCTTAGCCCGCGCCTCTGCTCTAACCCTAACCCCAGCCCGAGTTGATCGCGTGCCCTCACCCTCGCTACCCGAGTGCGCCCCACTCTGCCCGACCGTTGGCCCCTCCTCTTAACCTGTTCCCCGGCCCCACGCCATTCCTACTGCGGTTGGCTTTCGTTTCAGCGGCTGGCAGCCGCTCTTCCCACCGGTAGCGCGACCTAGGACCGGTTAAATCCCCACTCGTAGACTAGTTTCCTCCGACTGTCTCTAGTCTATGTCCAGCTGGCGTCTCTAGCCGTCTCTAGTCTCCCTTCTCGCTCCTAGCTCCGCCCGCTCCGTGCTCCAGCCGCCTCTAGCCTAGACTCCAGTATGGACTCCCGCCGCCTTCGTTTTGATGCGGAGGGACGCCCGATAGAGTTCGGCACCTGGCTCCGCCAGACTCAGCGCTACCTCACCAGTCAGCGCCAGGACGGCGCCACCTTATACGCTCACGCGTCTGGCGCCCTCCAGGCACCCCCGCGTCCCGAGCCCCTCCCTGCCGTGCCCCCACCGACTCCAGAGGCGCAAGCGGACTACGCTCGTCTCGTCTTGGTGCGGGACGTTTGGGACTCACGTGACGCAGCGGCTACACTCGCGCTGACTGAGCTCCTTCCACCGACTGAGGCCGCTCACTTCGACCTGGTAGAGACTGCAAAGGAGGTGTATGATGCTATTTCCGCACGCTATTCCACCCCTTCCTCTGCCTTCCTCAGCCGCATCCTCATGCCGTTCGTGTTTCCCGACCTCGACTCGTTTGCGACTGTCTCCGACCTAGCCACACACTTGCGCTCCCTTGTCGCTAGCTACCGAGCAGCTTGTACTGAGGCTCAGCTTCTTGTTGCCCCTCCTCCTATCTGGCTCACCGTCCACTCGGTAGTCACTCGTCTCCCTGACCGCCTCTCGCCTGTCGGTTACGCACTTCTCCAGCAGCAACCTAGTGAGCTTACGATTGATCTTCTCGAGACCACTCTCGGGAAGATCGAGAGTAACCTCCTCTCTGTTGCCTCAGCCACTTACGCAGTTGCTCCTCATCTGTTTGAGGGGTGTGCTGTCTCCCAGCTTCCTACCTTCACTGCTACTCGTGCCTCTGCTGCTGTGTCGGTCTCTGAGGACACTTCAGCTGTTTCTGCCGCTGACAGGCAGAAAAGGGGCAAGGGAGGAAAGAAAGGGGGGAAGGGGGGTGGCGGTGGTGGAGGAGGTGGGGGTGGTGGAGGCGGCCCTGGGGGCGGCGGTGGTGGCGGTGGCGGTGGTGCCTCAGGTGGAGGTGCTGACCCGCTTGCTGGAGGAGGTTCGACCAGCGGTGGTGCGGGGCCCCAGCAGCAGCAGCCACATCAGCAGCAGCCACAGCAGAGACAGCAGCAGCAGCAGGGACAGCATCAGTGGCAGGCACCACAGCATTTTTAGTCGTGGGGACCACCACTGCAGTGGGGTCCGCAACAGCACTGGAGCCCTCCGCCACAGTGCGGACCTGCAGGACCCGGGAGCACTGGCCGCAGCAGCAGCACTACCAGCTGGGCCCCTCGCCCCCCGCGGCGCGACACCGGCCCCTGCGACCACTGGTGCGTCACCGGACCGGGCACTCCCTGTGTCTGCGGCCGGGACGACCACTCAGCGGCGCGGTGCTTCCGCCGCCTCGACGACCTCTACCGTGCACGCTAGGGTCCTGAGGCGACCACCCCGCGCTGGGCTCGCCTGCTAGCCCGTAAGATTCCTGTATTTGAACTGTCTATGGACGACGCTCGTCAGTATGCTTTGTATGCTGATGTTGACTATAATGCTGATGGATCTGTGTGCTCGCGTGTTCGTAGTCTACGATGCTTGCCTCCTGTTAGTGTAGACCTGTGCCTCTCTAGTCTAGGTGCTTGTGTTTCTGCTCTAGGTGCTTGTGTAGCCTCCGGACCTGACACGCCTCCTGCTGAGGCGTCTCTGTCGTTCACGCTGAACTCTGGCGCGTCGCAGTGTTTCTTCCGCGACCACACGACCCTCACACCACTCCTTGCTCCGGTTCCGGTAGCTCTGGCTGATCCTTCTTCAGGACCAGCCGTTGCGCGCAGCTCCACCACCCTCCCGTGCCCTGTGGTCCCCTCTGGTGTCCTGCGCGGCCTCCACATCCCCTCGTTCACTCGGAACCTGGTGGGTGTTGGATACCTCCAGGACAGGGGGATCACCGTTACCTTTGTGGGGGGTGGCAGGACTGCGGTCTGTACAGACTCTGCTACAGGTGCTGTTATGGCCACGTTCACCAGGGAGTCCTGCTCTGGTCTCTACGTTCTCCACACCGAGCACTCCCCGGTTGCTTCCTCCGCTCAGGTCGCTGCGCCCCCTCAGGTCCCAGTGTCTAGTCCGGCTGCTGTGCCTGGTCAGGTAGAGGTGTCTGGTCAGGTTGCTGCGTCTTGCTCCTGTCAGTCCCTAGCCCACCAAACCGTCTTGTGGCACCACCGCCTTGGCCACCTGTCGCTCCCCCGCCTCCGTAGCATGGCCAGTCACAGTCTTGTCTCAGGTCTCCCGCGCGTCTTTCCGTCGCTCCCTCCCTCGCTTGCCCCACCCTGCACTCCTTGCGTCGCCGGCCACCTGTGCGCCACTCCGCACTCCTCCTCCCTTCGTCCGGCCACTGCTCCCTTCCAGACTCTCCACCTGGACGTCTGGGGCCCTGCCCCTACGCTGGGACCTGAGAGGGAGCGCTACTTTCTAGTGGTAATTGACGATTACTCCAGGTACACCACGGTGTTTCCTCTCACGAAGAAGTCCGAGGTGACTTCTACGCTAATCCGGTGGCTTCTGGCCACTGAGGGCACTCGTGGTAGTCGTGTCCGTTGTCTCCACTCCGACCGTGGGGGTGAGTTTCGCTCTGGCATCCTTGCCGGGTTCTGCGGCGAGTAGGGCATCAGACAGTCCTGGACGCTGCCGGAGTCCTTACAGCAGAATGGGGTTGCTGAGTGTCGCATTGGCTTGGTCATGGACATCGCCCGCACGTCCATGATCCATGCCTGTGCCCCCCATTTTCTGTGGCCCTACGCGCTGCGCTACGCCGCGCACCAGCTGAACCTCCAGCAGCGTGTCTCGCGGCCACAGGTTTCACCGACCAGTCTGTGGACTGGGTCCCCTGGTGTTGGGTCGGCCTTTCACGTCTGGGGCTGCCTTGCGCTTGTCCGCGACACCTCTGCGGACAAGCTCTCGGCTCGCGCCATCCCTTGTGTCTTCCTTGGTTTCCCGGTGGGCTCTCCCGACTACTTTTACCACTCGCCCCTCAACCAATTTCTAGACTCTCGTGACGTCTAGTTTGACGAGTCAGTGTCCTACTACACTAAGTACCCTAGTCGAGGTCTCCCGGTTCCCCTTCCCCCCCTCTTCCTCGCACCCTCTCTTCCCCCTGCTCCCGCTCCTCCAGTACCCCCATCCCCCCTTGGTCCTGCCCCGTCCGGTGTGTCTCACGCTACCCCTCTACCCTCGGTCGCGTGTCAGGTAGCGTCTCCCTCCCCGCAGTCCTCCTCACAGTCCCCTCAGCAGCCCTCGGCACTTCCGCGATAGGTTACTGTGGACTCGGTTGGTGTTGGAGCTGGAGGTGCAGCCACTGGCGGTACTCGGTCTGGGGGTGCTCGTTCGAGGGGTGCTGGAGCTGGAGGTGATGGCGCATGTGGCGCTGGCTCTGGGGGTGCTGGAGCTGGAGGTTATGGCACTGGAGGTGCTAGTTTCTGGGGTGCTGAAGCTGGAGGTGCTGGCACTGGAGGTGCTAGTTCTGGGGGTGCTGGAGCTGGAGGTGCTGGCAGTGGAGGTGCTAGTTCTAGGGGTGCTGGAGCTGGAGGTGCTGGCACTGGCAGTGCTAGTTCTGGGGGTGCTGGAGCAGGAGGTGCTGGCACTGTAGGAGCTGGTATTGAGGAGACGGGAGCTGGAGGCTCGCCTACTGCGTCGCCCACTGCACGTCCCCACCGCCACGACACCCGTTTCCAGGCCCTTCGCCGGCTTGAGCGCGAGGAGTAGGAGCGGGTGGAGCAGGAGAGGCAGGAGCTGCAGCAGTTAGACCAGCAGCAGCAGCACCAGCAGCAGCAGCAGCAGCAGCAGCAGCAGCAGCAACCACCTTTGCAGCAGCAGCAGCAGCAGACGCCGCAGCCGCCACCTTTGCAGCAGCTTTTCCCTCCATTGAGTGGCCTTCGGGCCCTTAGTCTTCCTTCCTCTCCTCCTGTCCACTCCCAGTCACCTACTGCGTACGGTCCTACGTTTCCTCCTCCGGACTCGACTCCGGCTATTCTCAGTCACGGTCGTCTCCTCATGTTGTCCCGCACGACTGGACCAGTCCTTGTCCTCCACGTGCTCGGCCCTCGTCTCCTCTTCCCGACCTCCGCACTGTCTTGTTTCGTTCTCCTCCTCGTCGTTCTCCGCCTGTGTCTGTTCTCCCCTCACCTCCTGAGTCGCCTCTCACCCTATCACTGACTACTACCGTGCTGCTCGCCCTGTTGTCTCTCGTGTCCTCGCCTCTCTTGTCACCGACCCTTGTGCCTCTCCGTCGTCTGTCTCGGCTCTTACTGCCGCTGTCGCTGACTTTGCTTCCACCCGCCGTCTTGACTACGCCACGCGTGTGGTGGCTGCTCCACCTTCCCGTCCTCTGTCCGTCGGGGGTGAGTCGGCCCTTGGCTGTGACGTCCTAGAGGACAGGCAGTTTGAGCTGGAGTTCTTAGCAACCACTTCCCCCTCTCTCTGCGCCATGCTGCTTTCCCTTGAGGGAGACCCCGACGCCCTTGACATACCGACACCTCGCACGTACCGTGAGGCAGTGTCAGGGAAGTGGGCCTCTCAGTGGAAAGCGGCTAAGGACGCAGAGTTAGCGTCTTGGAGATCCACAGGCACGTACGTCGACGCAGTTTCCCCTCCCAGGGCGAATGTTGTCGATGGCATGTTGCTCTTCAAGGTGAAGCGGCCGCTTGGTTCACCGCCTGTGTTCAGTCAGCGTGAGGGAGTTGACATCTTCCAGACCTTCGCCCCGACCCTGAAGATGACTACTCTTAGGGTGTTACTGCACGTAGCAGCACAGCGAGACTATGAGCTGCACTCCCTTGACTTCTCCACTGCGTTTCTCCAGGGCCGACTACACGAGGAGATATGGCTGCGCCGTCCTCCTGGCTTCACTGGCACCTTCCCACCTGGGACCCAGTGGAGCCTGAGGCGGCCAGTCTATGGTCTCCGCTAGTTGCCCCGTGAGTGGCACGACACTTTTTCGCTCCACGCTTCGTGACATTGGGTTTCGTCCTTCCTCTGCTGACCCGTCGCTGTTTGTTCGCACTGGTTCCACTCCTTTCTTTATACTAGTGTACGTCGACGACTTGGTCTTTTCTACAGCAGACAGGGCAGCTCTGACTGAGGTGAAATCCGAACTGCAGAAGAGACACAAGTGCACTGACCTCGGTGAACTGCAGCGCTACCTTGGGCTGCAGATCACCACGGACAGAATGTCAAAGTCATATTTAAGATATATCCTGCTTGCTGTAGTTACTGTAGTTATTGTTCTTTGCAGTTGGTGGTGCACCTTTTGTTTCCTAGTTTCTCGACTATCTCTTGTATGCTTTGCTTTTAGTGAAGCTCACTTGTTTGGTCAATTCTCTTGACACTCACTTGGCCTTGACCTCGACACTTGCTTGGCCTAGGCTACTAAGCCTAGGCCCTCCATAAACCCGGTTACCAGTTCAGTTAGTCTTGTAACATGGTATTGAGCTATTAAATTCCTGACCTAAGTTAATGGGCCCACCCATTCGCAGCACGGCGTTCGCTGCGAAGGGCGCGGTGGCGATCCGGCCGCGTTTCCCTCGTCGCCAGCCCGTCTCGTCGCCTGCCCGTCGCCAGCCCGTCGCGTTCCCCCCGTCACCAGCCCGCCGCGTTTCCCTCGTCGTCAGCCCGTCGCGTTTCCCCCCCGTCACCACCTCTGCCCGCGCCTACGCCTGCTGCCGAGTTTGCGCGAGAGTGGGGAAGGGGGGGGGGGGGGGGGGGGGGGGGGCATCGGGAATGAAGGGGACGGCGTCCGTGGCGGTCGTCGCGGCCCTTCCCCCCCCCCCCCCCCCCCCCCCCCCCCCCCCGTCCCGTTTTCTTCCCTCCCGTCGCCTCGCTCCGCCCGTCGCATTCCCCCGGCCCCCTGCCCGTCACCCCCCCCATCGCGACTGTTCGCATGTGCAGCGGCGGTCGCTGTGGGTGGGAGAGGGAGGAGGGGAAGGGATTGGCGGCGGAACGCTGTGGGGGGGAGAGGGAAAGGGGGAAGGGAGTGGCGGCGGAATGCTGTGGGGGAGAGAGGAAAAGGGGGAAGGGAGTGGCGGCGGAACACCAGCGATCACCGCCAGCGCACCGGCGATCGCACCAGCGCTTGCGCGCCTCCTACCGTCAGATCCCGCCCAGCCTGTAGCCCGTCTGCAGTTCGTCCCACCCGTCGCGCCCCATCAGCACCATGCACCAGCACCAGCGCCGTCACGCCAGCACCAGGCACCGGCACCAGCGCCGTCACGCCAGCACCAGGCACCGGCACCAGCGCCGTCACGCCAGCACCAGGCACCAGCACCAGCGCCGTAACACCAGGACCAGCAGCCCCACCTGTGACCAGCAGCCCCACCTGTGACTAGCAGCTCCACCTGTGACCAGCAGCCCCACCTGTGACTAGTAGCCCCACCTGTGACCAGCAGCCCCACTTGTGACCAGCAGCCCCACTTGTGACCAGCAGCCCCACCTGTGAAGGACTGTACAGGGATCATCGTGGGTGGGGAGGGGTATGGAGGAAGAAAAGGGGGGAGGGAGAGCGGTTCCAGGGGGCGGTTGAAATGGGGGGTGAGGTTAAAGGGGGTTGGTTGATTGGGGGTGGGGATGTGGGGGTTAGTAAGAGGGGACGCTGCGGCCACCCCCCCACCTCCTCTCCTCATCCCCCACTCAACCCCCCCACGCCACGCTGCGGCCTCCCCTTCGTAAAAGGGGGTTAGTAAGAGGGGACGTTGCGGCCAACCCCCACCTCCTCTCCTCATCCCTCAATCACCTCCTCCTTTGTTCTTATCTCCTCTCCTCTCCTCTCTCTCTTTCTCGCCTCCTCCTCCTCACTTTCCTCTCTGCCGTCTTCCACTGCGCCAGCTATACCCCTTCAGGGGGTGTTGACTACACTAGTTCCTACTGCAAGCAGGCTAAGGGGGTGTGTCAAAGTTATATTTAAGATATATCCTGCTTGCTGTAGTTACTGTAGTTATTGTTCTTTGCAGTTGGTGGTGCACCTCTTGTTTCCTAGTTTCTTGACTATATCTTGTATGCTTTGCTTTTAGTGAAGCTCACTTGTTTGGTAAATTCTCTCGACACTCACTTGGCCTTGACCTCGACACTTGCTTGGCCTAGGCTACTAAGCCTAGGCCCTCCTTAAACCCGGTTACCAGTTCAGTTAGTCTTGTAACACAGAACTGCTCGCACCATCACACTAACTCAGTCACACATGGTGCAGCAGGTCCTTCGGCGGTTCGGGTTTCAGTTCTCCACCACACAGCCCACTCCTCTTGACGTTGACCATCGACTCACTTGCCCTTTTCCCGACGAGCCCTTTGAGTCTAGTGGCCCCTACGCAGAGCTTGTGGGCTGCCTCATGTACCTGATGACTTGTACTCGGCCGGGCCTCGCCTTTCCCCTCAGCGTCCTCTCTCGCTTTGTTGCGACTGGGAGATACCGTCGAGTTCACTGGACAGCTGCTGTGAGGGTGGCGAAGTACCTGGCGACTACATCAGGCATGTGGCTTGTGCTTGGAGGGACACAGCCAGTTGTGTTGACCGGTCACTGCGACTCTTCCTACACTGACGACGTGGAGACTCACCGCTCGACTCAGGGTTACTGCTTCAGTCTGGGTGCTGGTGCTATGTCGTGGAGGTCTACACGGTCGTCGTCTGTGGCTACGTCCAGTGCAGAGGCAGAGATATACGCTGGTGCCATGGCGGCACAGGAGCTTCGCTGGTTGACCTTCTTGCTCGCCGACCTTGGTGAGCGGCCTCGCTCTGCACCGACCTTGTACGCTGACAACAAGGCCATGATCCTCCTGTGTCGAGAGCCTCGACTGGAGAGCAGAGTGAAGCATATTGACGTGAGGTACTTCCTCCTGCGAGAGTTGCAGCAACGTGGCCAGGCACGCTTGGACTTTGTGGCCTCAAAGGCCAACATTGCCGACGTCTTCACCAAGGCCTTGGCGCCTGGTGACCACCACAGGTTCTGTGTGCAGTTGGGGCTTGTTGAGGTAGGCCCTCGGTTGCTGTAGACTTGTTGTTTGCTCTGCTTGTTGTGCTTTGCTATATATATCATAGTGAACTCTTGAACTGGCCTTGTGGTCGCTTGCTTGTGCTCGGAATTTGTGTGGTGTCCTTGAGATCCACCATGAGCTTGCTTTGCTTCTTGCATTGACTGGTCTTGTGACCGTTTGTTCACCATGCTTGTTTTGATGCCCCTCACTTAGCCTATGGGGGTGTGTCAAATATATAATATGTGGTATATGCTGTAGTGAGGTGCCCTCTAGGGGGTACAACTTTTAAGTTTGCATATTTGTACCCCATCCTGTTTCTAGTTCATCATTCCGTTGTGCATGCTTCTTAAGAGGCAGACACTAGAGGGCAGAGGGAGAGAGGCGGCGGTGGGGCAGTTGAAAGAAAGGGTGGCGGCACAGAGGGGGAGGAAGAGGGAGATTCAGAGAGAGCTGCTGCTGGTGAAGGTGAGTGATGGTTCTGTTTTGAGGGGTAGAGGCAAGCAAGCACTAGGAGGGTAGAGAAGTAGAGGAATTAGAGGAGGCAGAGAGCAGAGAGGCAGAGGCAGCGGTGGGGCAGTTGAAAGAGAGGGTGTTGGCACAGAGGGGGAGGAGGAGGGAGATTCAGAGAGAGCAGCTGGTGGTGAAGGTGAGTGGGGGGTTTGATGAGAGAGCTGGCAGAGGGAGCAGAGATGCAGAGAGCAGGAGAGAGAGAGGGTGGCATTGCAGCACGAAGAGTGAGCGACTCTCCAGTGCTCCCAGTATTTGAGATTCCAAAGAACCATTTCATTCCAATCCCATCCCACCCCAACTCCCGCCCCGACTTCCAACCGTCCCAACATTGTCTCTCTGCTTTATTGGCTGCCCTGTTAAAGGACCACAGGACGCTTTTGCAGAGGAATGCTGCCCTGCACCTTCTACCCTAGACACTATTTTATATTCCACTCCCCAACTGTTAACCATCCCCAATTCTGTTCGTCCCATTTACAGGCTGCTCTGTTAGAGGACCATAGGACGTTACGGACAGAGCTGGCAGAGAGGCATTTTTTCCTCCTCCATCCTCCACCCAAGATCTCCAATTTTCAAGCCCTTCATCTCAAACTATTCCCAATACCGTTTGTTCCCCTTATAGGCTGCCCTGCTAGAGGACCACAGGGCTCTCCAGACCAGATAGAGCTGGCTGTCAGAGGCAGGGGCACACCACCCTGCACCCTCCTCCCAAAGATATATTATTTTCCATTGTAATCTCAAAGCCCTGATTCCCAACCACCCCCAATGTTGTCCGTACCCCTTAAAGGCTGCCCTGTTAGAGGACCACCGCGCGCTCCAGACACAGCTGGCAGAGGCAGAGGCAGAGGCATGTAAGGGTGCTTTGGACAGAGGCAGAGGCAATTTCCATTCAACTGCAAACCCCCAACTTCCATCCCCCAACACCCAACCACTCCAATAATAGGCTGCCCTGCTAGAGGACCACAGGGCGCTCCAGACAGAGCTGGCAGAGGCAGAGACGCGCAAGGGAGCTCTGGAGCAGCAGCTCAGGGCCGCTGCTGTGGCTGCTCGCTAGGAGTTGAATGCGGTTGAGTGCGGTGCAACAGGGTAAACAGGAAAGGCAGAGGTAGGGGCAAGCAATTGCCATGGAGGAGCAGGTCAGAGCTGCTGCTGCTGTGGCTCCTTTCTAGAGGCTGGATGGATGGATATGAGGCAGGCTCAATAGGACTGCACTAGGAATGTTTTACTTTTTCTTGTGAACGACAATACCTCCTTAAGGTCTCTAACTGGTCCTTAAGACGGAGCAGGGCAGACTAGGTACATATGATACCTACCACATATCACTTAGAGCATCAGCATAATCAGAATCTGTTAAAGTGCTGCAGAATTCCTCAATGATCGGTAAAATTTCAGCCAAAACAGATTCTGTTAAACCCCGGGAAAATTTCTCAAGCCCTGAATAGGGCTTGTACAGTCCAAACAAGTGACCCTGCCAAACAAGCCACGAAGAAGTTAAACATTGCATCAGAACAGCTTATATCAAAGTGTGAGCTACGGAACAACCCAACTGGAGGCTGAGGAACAACCTGGGTGCAGATGAAGCAGCAGGCATTGCCCTCAGTGCAACCCAACGCATCGTGAGCCGTCGGTTTCAACAGAGCAGCGGCGCTCCATGCCTGCTCAAGATCATAGAAGAACAGGAGTACTGAAGATCAGATAACAATTCATGTTTGAACACCTGACATGCTGGAACAACCAGCACCCCCTTTCAGTAGCTAAGGAGAAACAGCACTGTGCTGGCATAAGATGGCACAACACAGCTTCTAAGACCTGAGCGTCTCACCTGGTCATGGCACAAGGGGCATGCGCTTGAAGCACCAACACTCCAGTCTAGTAACAACAAAAAAACAGCACTGTACTTGCATAAGAGGGCTCGGCACAAATCCTAGTAACCATCTCACCTGGTCATGGCAGAAGAGGCATTCGTCTGGAGCAACCGGCTGGCCTTGCAGCAGACTGTGAAAACTGCAGCCAAGCATTGGGAGAGAGGAACGAGTCACAACATACACCTATATTTTGACTGTGCAGAAAAAAGGTGTTACTCTGTGGGCTATCCTACTGGTGAGATCATCCCCTCACACTTGTGCTTTTGAGTCGAATAAAAATCCCACTGGTGAGATCATACCCTCACACCCGTGCCAGCCACCAGGTGCAGCAACCACCTACAACCACCCGTCCACCCAACAACTTCACCATGGCTCACCGCGAGTGCTTGAACCCAGCAATCGCTCCCCACACCTCATGACAACGGATTCCCTCAGCCTCATGCTCCCGCCCACAGCGCCCTGCTGCCATCAACACAGCCGCGCCCTCATGCGCTCCTTCCCCCCCATCTTCCTCCCTAGCTTTCCCCCTTTTGTCCCCTTCCACCCCACCCAAAAAGAGCGGCGATGGGCCGAAAGGAGGGGCGGGGAGGAAGCATTCGTCCAGAAAAAGCCGAGTGGCCAGGGAGGAGGAGAGGGCACAGGAATCGCTGACATGGGGATTGGCGTCGTCACTTCCCTTACCGCCTCCCGCACCCACGCTTCCCCTGTCTGCGCCGCTGTCCTCCTCCGTCTCGCTCCGCGATTCTGTTGAGTCTTCCGCGGACGACCGCGACCACCGTCCCGACTCGGGCCCAGATCCTGCCTCACCCGGTTCTGCCTCGCCCGGTTCTGCCTCGCCCGGTTCTGCCTCGCCCGGTTCTGCCTCGCCCGGTTCTGCCTCGCCCGGTTCTGCCTCACCCGATTCTGCCTCACCCGATTCTGCGTCGGCCGATTTTGCCTCAGCAGCCGCGTTCAGTCGCAGCGCGATGGAGCAGGCGCGAATCACGCCCGGGCACGCACTCATGCACCGCGCCAGGCTGCTCGCCGCGTTTCGCGGCGCATCGGCGCTGCCCGCTTCGCGCACCAAGCGCTCCGCCACCGCCGCCACCGCCGCCGCCTCGCCGTCTTCCGCAAGCGCGGCGCGCGCGAGGCAGTAACACGGCCACAGCTCCGAGCGGGCGACACGGGCGAAGGCGCGGGAGACGGAGGCGACGTTGGCGATGGTGGTAACAGCATCGCCGGTAGCGTCCGCCACACGAAACAACACCGGCCCGTCTAAGGCTTCCATGGCTTGCTAGAGAGATGAAGATGATGACACAAATTGCTGCCAGTGGTGGCAGTGAGACTAACGGCGAGTCCATTGTGGGCCTCTCTACGCCGAAGTATGTCTCGGAATTCCTACGTCCTGGGCGAGAAATAGGCGTGAGGTCGAGGCGCGTGGTCGAGAGGTGGGCGTGAGCTTGAGAAATGGGCATGGTTACATTGCATGCTATGCTGTGCCACTCGTCGGAAATCTTGAAAAGTTGCCCCAAAGCTGTGAGGCACACAATAAAAACCCGAAACCCGGCTGACAAATGTATACTGCAGCTTTACCAACGGCAGACGCGCTATCACCGATAACAACAACCGCAATAAAACGCTAAAGCTAACTTAACCACTGTCCATCCGCAAACCTGATTGAAGCTCAGCGCAAGCTCAAGGCAGCTCGTTAGGAGTTGGATGAATTCATGTAGGTTTGAATGCGGTTGAGTAGGCTGAACAGGAAAGGCAGGGGCAGACTGAGCTGGCAGAGGCAGAGGCACGCAAGGGAGCATTGGAGCAGCAGCTCAGGGCCGCTGCTGTGGCTGTCGGTTAGGAGTTCAAAGTGGTTCAATCCAGAGGCAAATGGGTGAAAGACAAATTACATCTTAATCTCCGAGATGCAATACCACCCTCCGGTAAGCTGTCTTGGCTGATTTTTGTAACACACCCATTTTCATTGTGGATTGACCTTAGGTATGTACATACCTAACACACATCACCCTAAAGATCAGCATATCAGGCTTCTTACACTGATATCTGATTACCTGTCCACCATCTCACATACAAGTCCTGTCAAAAATCCCAACGCTCATCCTGCACCACACCTAGACGACAGTACATTCGATCATCTAAACCATCAACCTCATCCGACCAACGGTCATAGTCATCCCAATCATAATCGACTTTTGAGGCGCCTCAAAAGTAACCTAGGCGGACCATTCGATCATCCAAGTCATCAACCTCATCCGACCAACGGTCGTAGTCATCATCATACCAATCATCATAATCGTTGTCTTCATCAGAATCATCCGAGCACGATGATTTGTACAGTCCAAACAAGTGACCCTGCCAAGTAAGCCATAACGAGGTTATACATTGCATTGAAACAGATTATGTCAAAGGTGGCTGGAAACCAAGGAAAAGTGTGAGTTATGAAACCGGAGGCTGAGGAACAACCTGGGTGCAGATGAAGCAGCAGGCATCGCCCTCATCGCAACCCAACGCAACGTGAGCCGTCGGTTTCAGCAGAGCGGTAGCGCTCCATGCCTGCTCAAGATCATATAGCAACATGGGTGGGGAAGGGGATACAGGTAAAGCTGGTGCTCAAGACCCATATCGTCTGTTTTTGAAGCGCCTCAGAATCAGATTTCAGCACAGCAGTGGCGCTCCAGGCCTGCTCAAGACCAGATGACAACATGGGTGGGGGTGGCGCTCAAAGCCAAAAAGAGTAGGCTGAAACCAAAACCAAAACCAAAACAAATAACAACCCTTCAATTTGTGGTTTCAGCAGAGCAGTGGCGCTCCATGCCTGCAGGACGGCGCACACGTGCGGGAGGGGTACATGAAAGCTATGTTGGAATTGCTTTTGAATGTTCTCAGAATCAACTCCAACATCGTCGGTTTCAGCAGGGAGTGTCGTTCCATGCCTGCAGGACGGGACGCGGGTGCGGGTGGGGCACGGGGAAAGTTGGCGCACAAAATCACATAGCAACTCATGCTTCAACACCCTACAGTCCATCCAGTAGCGAAGGGAAAACAGCAGTGTGCTTGCATAAGAGGGCCCGGCACAGCTCATAGTAACCATCTCACCGGGTCGTGGCAGAAGGGGCAGGTGCTTGCAGCAAACGCCTGGCCTTGCAGCAGGCTGTGGAATCTGCAGGCAGGCAACATGAATGAGAGAGGTATGAATGAGAGGCAACATGCACCTACGTTTTGACTGTGCACAAAGCAGGCGTTACACTGTGGGCCCATCCCACTGGTGAGACCACACCCTCACACTCGTCCTAACAACGTCACCATGGCTTACCGCGAGTGCCTGAACCCAGCAATCGCTCCCCGCACCACCTCACAACGCTCCTCCTCCTCATCCTCAGCCTCTGCCTCGTGCTCCCGCCCACAGTCCCCTGCTGCCATCAACACAGCCGCGCCCTCCTGCGCTCATTCCTCCCTAACTTTCCCCCTTTCGTTCCCTTCCCCCCCATCTTCCTCCCTAGCTTCCCCCCTTTTGTCCCCTTCCACCTCGCCCAAAAAGAGCGGCGATGGGTGGAAAGGAGGGGCGGGGAGGAAGCACTCGTCCAGAAAAATCTGAGTGGCGAGGGCGGTGCAGAGGGCACAGGAATCGCTGACATGGGGATTGGCGTCGTCACTTCCCTTACCGCCTCCCGCACCCACGCTTCCCCCGTCTGCGCTGGTTTCCTCCTCCGTCTCGCTCCACGATTCTGTTGAGTCTTCCTCGGGCCACCGCGACCGCCGTCCCAACTCGGGCCCAGATTCTGCATTAGCCGATTCTGCCTCGGCCGATTTCGCCTCAGCCGCCGCGTTCAGTCGCAGCGCGATGGAGCAGGCGCGAATCACGCCCGGGCACGCACTCATGCAGCGCGCCAGGCTGCTCGCCGCGTTTCGCGGCGCATCGGCGCTGCCCGCCTCGCGCACCAGCCGCGCCGCCACAGCCGCTACCGCCGCCGCCTCGCCGACTTCCGCAAGCGCGGCGCGCGCGAGGCAGTAACGCGGCCACAGCTCCGAGCGGGCGACACGAGCGAAGGCGCGGGAGACGGAGGCGATGTTCGCGATGGTGGTAACCGCATCGCCGGTAAATTCCGCGACACGAAACAGCACCGGCCCGTCTAAAGCCTCCATGGCTTGCTTGAGAGACGACGATGCGTGCTTGAGAGTTCAAAATGATGACACAAAGTGCTGGAACTGGGAATAATCAGACTAATGGCGAACTCCATTTGGGTGCCTCTCTACACCTACTAGGTAAGATAGTAAGTATGCTTCAGAGCTCCTACGTCCTGGGCGAGGAAAAGGCGTGAGGTCGAGGCGCGCGGTCGAGATGTGGGCATGAACGTGAGAACGGGCGTGGTTATGTGTGGGCATATGCATGGCTTGCATGCCGCTCGTCAAAAAACTTCAAGAGCAGAAACGATGTCCTCAACAATAGCAGACGCGCTATGAACAACAACAATACCCGTAACAAAACTTTCAAGACTAACTTAACCACACTTCATCTGTTGGGCTAACAATATCACTCGTCCTGATTGAAGCTCAGCGCATGCCGACTATGGCGAATTTATTACGCTTCATGAGTTAGGTATAAGTACGCTGATACCAATCTCCCAATTTCCTCCTGAAAATCCGCCGGGTCTGACTAGGGTCGTATCCCTGGCTAGTGTCGAGATACTGTTGGTGTCAAGCCGGAAATTCGCTTGACACCAGGTGAAGCCGCGCCCGCACGCGGCTCCAGCCTGGTGTCAATGTTGGGCACATTGGGCAATTTCCCGCAATCAGATTGGTCGGTTTAGCTGACACCAGGAGGACTAGTCCTCCATGCGTTTTTCGAGATAGTGTCATGACACTAACCACTCTTGACACTAGCCAGGGATACGACCTAGGTACACACTAAATCCGCCAGGTCAGAAAAGAAAAGAACCAAATCAACCTCCTTATGCTGAGACCTGAGCGCCCCTGTCCACTATCTTACGGTATGTACAAAGTCCTGTCAAAACTCCCAACGTTCATCCTGCACCAAACCTACACCACGGTGCATTGAATCATACAACCCATCAACCTGATCTGGCCAAAGGTCATACCGGTAATGTCAGAATCAAGAGGCAGGAATGAATGAACTATGGCAGAGTTGGGTACAAGTATGAAACCCTAAAAGGGGCTGTACCCCATATTGGCTACCCCACTACAGCCTACACATGTATAGCAAGCATATGCTTTGACACACCCCCATAGGCAAAGTGGGGAGAGCAAGAGAAGCAAAGCAAGCTCAGGGTGGATCACAACGTCACCACACACAATGAGCACAAGCAAAGGGCCACAAGGCCAGTTCACATGCAGGAGTATATATGCAACAACAACAGCACAGTGATCTCTACATAGCAGAGCAAGCATGCAGGTATATATATAGATCACAGTACAAGCAAAGTCTACAGCAAGGGAGGAAACGTGGGCACAAGGCCTAACAGAGTGCAGAAACGCTGATGATCACCAGACGGAAGCGCCTTGGTGAATATATCAGCAGTGTTGGCCCGAGTGGCCACGTGAGCAAGACGAAGCTGACCACGCTGCTGCAACTCTCGAGCCAGGAAGTAACGCAGAGCAATGTGCTTCGTTCTGTGCTCCAGTCTGTGCTCATAACACAAGGCAATGGCGGCCTTGTTGTCGACGTACAACACTGGAGGAGAACGAGGCCGCTCTCCCAAGTCGTGTCAGAATCCCAACCACTAGACCATTGGGATAAAAGGGCTTGTTAAGTAGCGGGTCAGTGCGCCCATAACCCCCCAGGACAAAGAGCCTGTAACCCTTCCCTAGGATCAATCGGGGATCACCAGTGGACCTCTGACACCCCCCCGCACTGGGATGCCCGAAGTGCACACACTGGGATTCGAAACCCGAGACCTTCGCTCTGATACCATGTCAGAATCCCAACCACTAGACCATTGGGATAAAAGGGCTTGTTAAGTAGCGGGTCAGTGCGCCCATAACCCCCCAGGACAAAGAGCCTGTAACCCTTCCCTAGGATCAATCGGGGATCACCAGTGGACCTCTGACAAGTCGGTCAGCAGGTAGGTGAGCCAGCGTAACTCCTGTGCAGCCATGGCTGTGGCGTAGATCTCAGCCTCACAACTGGAGTTGAGAACTGAAGACGGGCGCGTAGAACGCCAAGAAACCGAACCAGAGCCAAGACTGAAGGTGTAACCCTGTGACGACCGCTGCGTAGCCTGGTCGTCAACCCAAGAAGCGTCTGAGTGCCCAATGAGGACAACGTCGCTCCGTCCTCCAAGCACGAGCCCCATGCCCGATGTACTGCACAAGTAGCGTAGTACCCTCTTAGCAGCATCCATGTGCACCTTTCGGTGCCGACCAGGAGCCACGTAGCGAGCCAGAAGGCCAAGAGGGTACGCAAGGTCAGGACGAGTGCAGGTCATCAGGTACATGAGGCAGCCCACTAGCTCTGAATAAGGACCACTCGGCTCTACGGACTCGTCCGAAGGTGGAGCTGAGAGCGAGTGACCTGTAGCCAGAGGAGTGTGCTGTGCCGAGAACCAGGTGAAGCCGAAGCGCTGAAGGACCTGCTGCACCATGTGTGACTGAGTCGGTGTGATGGTGCGGCGTGCTCTGTCCCGGGTGATCCGCAAGCCAAGATAGCTTGTCAGCTCACCCAGGTCGGTGCACGTGTGTCTCTTCTGCAGCTCCGACTTCACCAGGGCGAGAGCCTCAGTGTCAGCAGTGGCAAAGACCAAGTCGTCGACGTACACGAGGATGTAGAACGGCGGCAGCGAAGTGTTGGTGCGCAGAAACAGCGACGGGTCAGCAGTCGACGGAGCAAACCCAAGAGCCGCAAGTGTCGTCCTCAGTGTGTCGTGCCACTCACGTGGTGCCTGGCGGAGACCGTAGACCGGCCGCCTGAGGCTCCACAGGGTACCAGGAGGGAACGACCCAGTGAAGCCAGGTGGGCGGCGCAGCCAGATCTCCTCGTGCAGGCTGCCCTGTAGGAAGGCTGTGCTGAAGTCAAGAGAGTGAAGCTCGTAGTCACGCTGAGCGGCAACGTGCAGCAGCACCCGAAGAGTGGTCATCTTCGGGGTGGGGGAGAAGGTCTGGAAGAAGTCTACTCCCTCTCGCTGATTGAAACCTCGTGCAACGTAACGCGCCTTGAAGGCAGGCGGAGAACCCGGCGGCCGCTTCACCCTGAAAATCCACATGCCACTGACGATGTTCGCCCCAGGTGGAGGAACCTCGTCGACGTAGGTGCCTGTGGACTTCCAGGATGCCATCTCTGCGTCCATGGCTGTCTGCCACTGAGAGGAGTACTCACCCGCGATCGCCTCAGCGTAAGAGCGCGGGGTCGGGATGTCTGGAGCATCCGGGTCTCCCTCAGGGGCAAGCAGCATGGACACGAGATGAGGCGCAGCGGCTGCAAGACACTCAAGGTCCTCCTGCCTGTCCTCAAGGACGTCCGTGCCAAGAGCACACTCACCCCCGACGGACAGAGGACACACAGACTCAGACTCAGCAACAAGACTAGCAGCGTAGTCTAGACGACAGGCAGCAGCAAAGTCCACAAGCTCAGCAACTAAGGCAGACGTAGCAGCAGACTCAAACGACGGGTCAGTGACAACAGTGGCTAGCAGACGCGTGACAGTAGGGTGCTCAGCACGAAACCAGTCAGACTCGGGGTCCGCAACGACAGGCAGAGAAGACGCAGGAGGGGACGGCAGAGGAACACGCTGCGGAGGAGAGGAAGGACGACGGACTACGAGGTGGGTGTCGGGAACAGCCGGCAGACGCGGACGAGGAACACGACGACCGAAACGACCAGAACAGACAGGCGAGACAGGACGTGACGCAGGCTCACGACGCTCAGTAAGACTCCCTAGCTGCTCAGTGTAAGGAGAAGGAGCAGGCAGCGGTGAGCCAGGCTGTAACGGAAGACCAGTAGACGAAGGGAGACTAAGAACCTGGCGAAGCACAGAGTCAGGCGGTGGCTGAGACGACGGAGACGGTGGAGCGAAGAACAGGCGTGGCTGTGCAGTGACACCAGCACCAGCAGCTCCAGTACCCCCAGCAGCTCCAGCACCTCCAGCAGCTCCAGAACCTCCAGCGCCAGCACCCTCAGCAGCTCCAGAATCTCCAGCTCCAGCGCCACCAGCGCCAGTACCTCCAGCAGCTCCAGAACCTCCAGCGTCAGCACCCACAGCAGCTCCAGAAACTCCAGCTCCAGCGCCACCAGCTCCAGCACCTCCAGGACCAGCTCCACCAACAGCAGCACCCCCAGAACCGGCACCTTCAGTCCCAGGGTCTCCAGTCTCAGTGCCTCCAGCAGCAGCACCCTCAGGCTCAGCACCTCCAGCCCCAGCAGCTCCAGTACCTCCAGTACGAGCACCTCCGAGACCAGCACCACTCCCAGCTCCAGTGACGTCAGCAGAAGTACCTCCAGCGGCAGAGCCCCGAGCTCCAGAAGCGCGACCCTGACGGCGACCGTACCAGTCGTGCAGCTGCTGCGAGGTGAGAGGCACACGCGGACGAAGGCGGCTACTCCAAGGAAACCGCCGCAACAGCAGACTCAGAACCCTCAGCTCCAGTACCCGCAGCAGCTCCAGAACCTCCAGCGCCAGCACCCTCAGCAGCTCCAGAACCTCCAGCTCCAGCGCCACCAGCGCCAGTACCTCCAGCAGCTCCAGAACCTCCAGCGCCAGCACCCTCAGCAGTTCCAGAACCTCCAGCGCCAGCGCCACCAGCAGCTCCAGAACCTCCAGCTCCAGTACCCTCAGCAGCTCCAGAACCTCCAGTAGAAACAACTCCAGTGGCAGAGTCACCAGCTCCAGCGCCTCCCGCAGCAGGGCCCCTAGCTCCAGCAGCGCGACCCTGACGGCCAGCGTACCACTCAAACAGCTGCTGTTGGGAGAGAGGGAGTCGACGACGAGAGTGCAGCGGCGAGGCACCAGCGGAGCGACTACGGAGACGGCCGCTCCCGGGAGACTGCTCACCAGACGCCTCAGCGCCCCCAGGCTCAGCACCCCCAGACTCCTCACACCCAGGCTCAGCACCTCCAGTCTCCGCACCCCCAGGCTCCGCACCCCCAGGCTCAGCACCCCCAGGCTCAGCATCCCCAGGCTCAGCACCCCCAGGCTCCGCACCCCCAGGCTCAGCACCCCCAGCAGCAGCACCACCCTCAACATGACCTGAGTCACCAGTGACCTCAACCTGAGGAGGAGGGTCTACCTGAGACACACCTGAAGGAGCAGGACCGGGAGCGGGGAGGGGGTCTACCTGGGGAGCACCTGGAGCGAGGAAGAGCGGCGGGGGGGGGAGAGGGGCAGTGCGGTAGGGGAAGAGACGGTAAAAGGGAACCGACTCGTCGAACGTGACGTCCTGAGAGGGGAAGACACGGCGCGAGGTGGGGTGGTAAAACTGCCAACCAGGCGCGTCAGGGACGAAGCCAAGGAAGACACAGGGAACAGCGCGGGCGGAGAGCTTGTCCGCAGTGGTATCGCGGACAAAGGCACGAGCACCCCAGACCCGGAAACGCGACGCATCGCCAACCTTCCCCGTCCACAGCAGTGTGGGCGAGGTCTCCGGCAAGGAGACACGGGGCCAGAGGTTGAGCTGATGCGCGGCGTACCGGACCGCAAACGGCCACAGAAAATGGGGGGCAGCCGCATGGATCATGGAGGTACGAGCGACCTCCATGACTAAGCCAATGCGGCGCTCAGCAACCCCATTCTGCTGCGGAGAGGCCGGAAGCGTGAACGACTGGCGGATGCCGTGCTCCGCACAGTAGGCTGCCAAGAGGTCTGAGGAGAACTCACCACCTCTGTCAGAGTGCAGACGCAGGACAGGAAAGTCCGAGTGGAACCGCTCGCGGAGCTGGAGACGAGCAGCGCAAATCCAGGGGATCAAAACATCAGGGACCTCCCCCTTGCTGCGCAAGGGGAAGACCGTGGTGTAACGCGTGTAGTCGTCGACGACCAGCAGGAAGTACCGCTCGCGGCCCTGTCCACGGACGCGGGCTGGGCCCCACACGTCCAGGTGGAGAGTCTGCAAGGGAGCCTCTGTGGGAGGGAACGAGGAGGAGTGAGGAGCGGCGCGCTGCCGCCCCTCGACACAGGGAAGACAGGGAGGAGCAGGCTGAGGGCGGTAGAGGAGGCAGAGTCTCTGGAAGTCCAGAGACAAGGAAACGGCGGTGCATGCTACGAAGGCGCTGCACCGAGGGGTGACCAAGGCGGTGGTGCCACAGGACGGTCTGGTGCGACAAAGCGCGACACGAGCAGGGGGCCGCTAGCTGACCTGACGCAAACGCAGACGCAGACGCAGCTACCTGAGGGGACACAGTGGTCAGTGTGTACACACTCGAGCCAGGCTCTCGGGTGAACGTGGCCAGGTGCCGACCAGTCCGGGAGCACGTACAGTGGGTCACACGCTGACCTCCAGGGTGAACTGGTCAACCCACACATCCTGTAGGTCAGCTCCACTCACCAAGTTCGTAGAGAACGAGGGGAGGTGAAGACCTGACAGGGAGCCAGACGGGACTGTAGGACACGGCAAGACCGTGGAGGATGTGCGCAAGGACTGGACCCCCAGAGGGGTCTGCCAGGGAGACTGCAACCGGCCGACGGAGCGGTGTGAGTGTGGTGCTGTCGCGAAAGAAGGAGCGGGAAGCACCTGAGTCAAGTGTGAAGGTGTACACGGCCTCAGCAGACGCAAGTACCAGAGAGAGCAGACTCACCAGCACCTGGAGCAGTAGCCTCACCAGTACCTAGAGCAGGAGACGCACGAGCACCTATAGCAGCAGCCTCACCAGCACCTAGCGCAGGAGACGCACTAGCACCTAGAGCAGCAGCCTCTATACCTGGGTCAGGCGGTACGCACAGGGAACAGGCACGGTCATCACTAGTAGGCAATGCATACATGGCAGTGAGAATAGCATCATAGTCAAGAGCAAAGATATCTACCCCCTGCCCAAGCAGCTCCAGCCAGGAGGGGAGCTCAGCCTCGTCACCAAACTCGGTGCGCCAGTCGTCGCTCAGACGGGTGAAGCAGCGGGACTGGGTGTGACCAAGTGTCCCGCAAGCCTGACCAGTCCGATCACCTGTGCGTGGGACGTCACGGGCAGCGAACGGTACTCTGAGACCCTCGACTCTGAGCGTACCACTCGTGAAGCTGCCGGGACGTAAGTGTCTCGCGCGGACGCCGCTGCAGCTGCAGCTGGCCACTGCCAGACGCTCCCGACCGACCAGCTCCAGGGCGACAGTCACGACGGCTACCGCCACAACCCCAACTAGCGTACCACTCACGAAGCTGCTGAGGCTGTGAGAGACTCGCGCGGGCGTCGCTGGAGCTGCATCTGGCCGCCGCCAGTAGCAACAGTAGCAGCAGCAGCTCGGGCAGGGCAGGTGCGGCAGGAGAGTTGCAGGCAGGCAGGCAGGTAGACAGGCAGGCAGAGGGTGCTGCAGTGCGCGAACAAGGCAGGTGCTCACCAGTGGCGGGCAGGGCCGGCGCTCGGCGGGGCGGCGGCAGGGTAGGCGCACGACGGCGGCGACGGCGGGGCCGCAGCAGCAGCTGCAGAGTAGGGCCGCGGCAGCTGCAGGCGGGGGCCGCGTCAGCTGCAGGGCGGGGCCGCGGCAGCGGCAGGTCGGGCCGCGTCCGCTGCAGGGCGGGGCCGCGTCAGCGGCAGGTCGGGGCCGCGTCAGCTGCAGGGCTGGCGGGGCCGCGTCAGCGTCCGGGCGGGGGCGTGTCGGCGGCAGGGCGCGGGCCGCGTCAGAAGCGTGCCGCGGCCGCGTCAGAGGCAGGTGAGTCGCGGCGCGCGGGGCTGCAGCGCGACGCGGCGGGCAGCGCGCGCGGCGCGCGGGGCTGCAGCGCGACGCGCGAGCCAAGACGGTCGCGGCGCGCGCGGGCTGGCGAGGCGCACTCGGGCAGGGGTGGGCGACTCGTGGGGCAAAAAACGAGCCGCGCGCGAGGAATTAGGTCTGCGCGCTCTAAGCAGCAGCAGATCGCACAGTCAGCAGACAGTAGGCAGCAGGCAGACGGCGCGCGCAGCGCAGCACGTCACAGGCACAGTCAGTCACAGTCACAGTCGTGGGGTAGCAGTAGGTGGGCCCGAAAAAAAAAAAAAAAAAAAACGGTCCTACGGACCTATTGCTCTGAAACCATGTCAAAATCAAGAGACAGGAATGAATGAACTATGACAGAGTTGGGTACAAGTATGAAACCCTAAAAGGGGCTGTACCCCATATTGGCTACCCCACTACAGCCTACACATGTATAACAAGCATATACTTTGACAGGTAAGAGTAGTAGTCATCATAATCGAATTCTGAATCCCTATTGAAATACCCATCATCTGAATAGTCCGCGTGTGGTGACTTGTACAGTCCAAACAAGTGACCCTGCCAAGCGAGCCAGGAAGAAGTTATACATTGTGAAAAGAACAACTTATCGTATATCGAGCATGGCAAACAAGGAAACTGGTGGCTGCGGAACAAACTAGTGGCAACCCAACCTGGGTGCAGATGAAGCAGCAGGCATCGCCCTCACAGCCCAATGCAACGTGAGCCGTCGGTTTTCAGCAGAGCAGTGGCGCTCCATGCCTGCAGGACGGCACACGTACAGGGGAAGCTGGTTTTCAACACAATCATATAACAACCCATGTTTGAACACCTGGCATGTTTGAACACCTGGCATGTTTGAACACCTGGCATGATTGAACACCTGGCATGATTGAACACCTGGCATGATTGAACACCTGGCATGATTGAACACCTGGCATGATTGAACACCTGGCATGATTGAACACCTGGCATGATTGAACACCTGGCATGATTGAACACCTGGCATGATTGAACACCTGGCATGATTGAACACCTGGCATGATTGAACACCTGGCATGATTGAACACCTGGCATTATTGAACACCTGGCATGATTGAACACCTGGCATGATTGAACACCTGGCATTATTGAACACCTGGCATGATTGAACACCTGGCATGATTGAACACTGACCATCTCACCTGGTCGTGGCACAAGGGGCATGTGCAAGGATCAAACGGCTGGCCTTGCAGCATCCAGTGAAAGCTGCAGCCAAGCATTGGAAAAGAGGCAGGATACACAAGATGCACCTGTGCAACATGCTGCACAAGGCCTGGCAACGAGCGCAGCCCATGCCATGGGTTGGAGCGACGAGCAAGCATATCGTTGAAAGGAAGCACAAGGCAGGCGTCTCACCAGTGGGCCATCCCGCTGGTGAGATCAGCGGGGGTCTTGACCCCTTCACACCCGTGCCAGCGACTGGTGCAACAACCACCCTTCCACCGAACACCACCACCATGGCTTACCGCGAGTGCTTGAACCCAGCAATCGCTCCCCGCACCACTTGACATCGTTCAAACCCAGCCCTGTGCTCCCGCCCACAGTCCCCTGTTGCCATCAACACCGCCGCGCCCTCCTGCGCTCCTTCCCCCCCATCTTCCTCCCTAGCTTTCCCCCTTTCGTCCCCTTCCACCTCGCCCAAAAGCGCGGCGATGGGCGGAAAGGGGAGGCGGGGAGGAAGCACTCGTCTAAAAAGAGCCGAGTGGCGAGCGCGGAGCACAGCACAGAGGAGTCACTGACATGAGAATCGCTGACATGAGAATTGACGCTCTTGCCGCCTCCCACACCCACACTTCCCCCGTCCTATGCCGCTTTCCTCCTCCGTCTCGCTCCACGATTTTGTTGAGTCTTCCTCGGGCCAACGCGACCACCGGTCCAATTTAGAGTGCAGCGCCGCGTTCACCCGCAGCGCGATGGAGCAGGCGGGTAGAACGCCCGGGCACGCACTCATGCAGCGCGCCAGCTGCTCGCCGCGTTTCGCGGCGCATCGGCGCTGCCCGCCTCGCGCACCAGCCGCGCCGCCACCGTCGCCACCGCCGCCGCCTCGCCGTCTTCGGCAACGGCGGCGCGCTCGATGCAATAACGTGGCCATAGCTCCGAGCGGGCGACACGGGCGAAGGCGCGGGAGACCGAAGCGATGTTAGCGATGGTGGTAACCGCATCGCCGGTAGCGTCCGCGACACGAAACAGCACCGGCCCGTCTAAGGCCTCCATGACAACTAATGCCGAACTCCATTGTGTGCCTCCCTACACCGAAGTACGGTAGAAATGGGCGTGAGGTCGAAGCGCGTGGTCGAGAAGTGGGTGGTAAGCGTGAGAAACGGGTGAGGTTATGTGGAAATGCATGTCATGCCACTTGTCGGAAATCTTCAAACACCTTCACGTGGTAAGTATGCTCAACAACAGCAGACGCACTATCACCTACAGCCACAAGAATACCCGTTTATAAACGCTCGAACCTAACTCAATCACTCGTCCTGACTGCATTCTGTATGCATCAATCCGCATATATTTGCCAAGTCCATTTACATTCACTAGAAGCCCCTGGTTGAAGCTCAGCAAAAGCTTTCTGGCACACCACTGAACACATTGCTCCTGTGTCTTAACAGAGTCTTCTGCATGCTGCAATACTGTTTGTCTACCAAAAGACCCCCATTATTGTGAAAATGTAGACAGGACTTGCATTATGTAAGGATATGCATATATTTTGACAGATCGGAAAGGCTTTTATTCACTGAAGCTCCTGATTGGAGCTCGGCAAAGCGCATGCCAACTCTCGCAAAGTGGTTCAGAAACTTCTCCCCACACCGCTTCACACACTGCTCCTCCGTCTTATCAAGAGTTTTCCGCCTGAAAATTGTCCACGCAGTCTTTGAAGCACCCGTTCCACCAAGAGTTGTACATGCGAGCTCTGGAGTGGTAAAAGGGGGTTGGGTGTGGAACAATGAAAGGGTTCATCCAGGGCCTTCCCACCTGAAATTGTCAACGCAGACCCGGAAACACCGCCTTCCACCAGTGAGTTGTACATTGCGAGCTTTGGTACGTGCAGTGGACGAGGGTGGGTGGGTGGGGGACAACAGAGAAAGAGAATACATGAGAGCTTGTCAAAAGTCTTCCGCCTGAAGTTGTCAACGCAGTCCCTGAAGCACCGCTCCACCAGTGAGTTGTACATGCGAGCTCTGGTGTCGTAAAAAGGGGGGAGGGAGGAGAGAGGTCAATCAAGCGTTCTAAACCTGAAATCGTCAACGCAGTCCCTCAAGCCCCTGAAATTGTAATAAGCGAGCTCTGGCATGTGAGGTGGAGGGGGGTGGGGTCGGGGACGGGGCAACAGGGAAGAGAACACTTGAGAGCTTGTCAGAAGTCTTCCGCCTGAAAGCGTCCGCGCAGTCCCGAAAGCACCTTTCTACAGCGAGTTGCACATGCGAGCTCTGGAGTGGGAATAGAATTGGGATGGGGAGGAGTGATGAGAAGTCCTGAGACCTTATTCAGGGTCTTCCGCCTGGAACTGACCAGCACCGTTCCACCAACGAGTTGTACATACGAGCTCTGGTGTGGGAAGGGTTTCGAGAGAAACACCGGATCAAACTCTTACTGCCTGACGTTGTCCATACAGTCCCGAAAGCACGGTCCACCAACAAGCTACAAGCTGTACAAACGATCTCTGGTGTGTGTGGTCAGGGAAGGGAAAGGGGGGTGTGGACGGGGAGGGAAGGGGGAGGGGATGAGCGTGGGGTGAGTCCGTTTGGGGAGGAACAGGGAAACTTGGCACATAACAGTTCTTCAATATTCTTTCCGCCTATAGTTGTCCACGCACTCCTCGAAGCACCAAACCACCAGCATTATGAGAGCTTGAACCTTATACAGACTGGTTCGGCGTTGGTACAACTTGAACCTTAAGTTTAAGGAACTGGTTCAGTCGAGACTCAATACAAACGCAAGGCTGGGAATTAGTGGGTGGAGTCAGCTGGGCGTTCAAAAGGTTCCTCATGCGGCTCTTACACGGGATTCAATATTAGGAGCCAAGTGAAGGAATACTTGTGACCTAAACAGGAACCCAGATAGTATTTGAAGCAACTCCGAATACCTTTTTCTTTATCGGGACCTGATCAGGACCAGGGACTTGATTAGGTGTTCTGTGGTCCGCACCAGAAGGAAACCTTAAAGCCGATCTTCGTCTCGGAGGTGCAATCCGGATCATCTAACCTGAACTAAACGCAGCTTGTTTTAGCAAACTTCCACACACGCTGATCCACTAAACTGCGGGCTTAGGACACACTGCAGGCTGATATGAATACTGCTCGAACCGGAGGTTAAGACGTTTTCACCCCTCTCGAAAGTCTAGGCTCACCCTGGCTGAACCATCGCTGCGCGTTCTCGATCATCTGCGTGAGACGCTCCGAGCCTTATCCACCCTGGCTGAACCATGTGCCTTGGATCTACTACCCATTCTCGCCGTAACGCACCGGTCTCACCCATCCCAAACGCCTCCGCTCACCCATCTCGTCGCTGCGCGTTCTCGATCATCTGCGTGAGTCGCGCCTTATCCTCCTCGGGAACTCCCTCAAGATCGAGATCCATGGCGACGAGATGCGACGACACGCGACGGAAAGCGACGATATGAGACGAGACGCGAC